CTCTCTCTCTCTCTCTCTCTCTCTCTCTCTCTCTCTCTCCCCCACTTGGTGCCAAAACCCAGAATTGGGCGACCCTCCCTGGAGGGCTTTCAAGTGCTATCCGGAGCCTTTTGTCCTCACACTGCATCTCAGGCTGCGTTCCAGACAGTCCTGCCCACTGCTTTAGCCTGGGTAAGAATTTCCCTTTCATTTCCCTTACTCTCCTCCCTCTCTTCCCACCTTGAGATGTGCCCTTGAGGGGCCAGCCATGGATTCTGAATGCCAGCCTCTCCACCAAGCGCCACATCTGGTACGGTGTCCCAGGCTATGCAGCCGAAGCGTTGGGCGTCTGTGCCTGGCATGTCTGGCTTGGGCCCAAGGCTGCTCAGCACCCTTGAAGCCAGGGACAGGACATGACAGTGGCAATGATGTGGTCACTGTGCACAGAGGCCAAGGTCCTGCCGAGCCAGTGCACACATATAGTGGGACCACAGCCCACACCAGCAGGCCACCTGAGGGACTTGTGCACATCCTACAACGAACCTGAGTGCAGCCTGGGCAAGGAGATTTCGGGCCTGCTTCCCCACTGCTGCAACTGCCTGACTTCCAAACGAGCTTGTCCAGTCTGTCTGAGCTGGGCTGCCTGGATGACACCACTGGACCACCTGCAGCTGCCGGTGTGGCTGCTCTTCCTCCTCTTCGCCTTCCTGATTAATACAGACCCCACCATACAGGTGATGTCGCAGCTCTGGGCACTAGATGTGGGGCTCCCACCTTGGGGGTTCCCCGGACACTGCTCTTTTGCTCCTAACTCCTCTAGCCTCACAGAATGCGCAATCCATTGTGTGGGATGGAAAACTGGGTGCCCTGGGTGCCCAGCTGTGCCCCCTTTGTGACATCTGTCCAGCCCCCTCCTCACCCCCTCCTCCAACCCACCCTGCTCCATGGCCTTCGAGGGGCAGGTGGGTGTGTGTGGGGAGGCACCGAGCTGGGCTGCGTGCTCTGGGTGGCCTGACACCTCGTGTCCCATGCCTTCTGCTGACCCCACCCCACACTTGGTCTGGACTACAGCTTGGCCTTAATCCCCAGCCATCTGCCCCTCAATTCTCTGAGAAATGGCAGAAGTGGAGGGAAAAGTCCAAATCCATGTTCTTTTCTCTCTGTCAGACCCTGCCTCATCACACCTGAGTGCAGAGCTTGCCCTGACTCCCAGTGGCCCGGCCCAGCCTGGTGTGGCTCAGGGTGGCCCAGCATAGCCCCAGGCCCCACCATACCAGGCCCTCCCACCCCCTCATCCCAGCATCCTCAGCGCCCAACCCAGCCTGGCTCTGCTCCACTCTCCTGCCTCCTCTCTCCTTCCCTTCCGACTGTGAAAAAGCACGTCAGAGCCTGGACAGAGCCCACTCCCTACCCCTCAGAGCCAGGCTCAGGGTCAGTTGTGCGCCTCAGACCCAGGCCCTCACCACTGTGACCTCCACTGTGCCTATCCCTTGTGCACCCCCTAGAGCACCACACACCCCTAGGAGCCTTATACGTAGCCCAAGACCCTGCACACTCTGGGGATCTCTGTGCTATCCTAACAGATCCACGTGTCTCTGGACCCCAGCACAGCTGGGCCCTGTGTGTCCCAGGACCTCTGCCAGATCTCAGGACCCTGGCGCTTCGCCAACTCGGTTGCGTGTAAGGGGCCCCACCCTCGAAGGTCCCTTTCTTCCAACAGATAGAGCCCCACCCCAGGGGAACCCAGATCTGACAGGGACATCCAGCCATGCCCCAGATACCTGACTCAGTCGTATAGCCTCTCTTGGGCTGAATTAACTGCCACTCTTAGTTCCGTTCTTTCCCTACTTGAACAGAAATGAGTATATTCCCTGACCTGATCCTATGAGGATGACCACAGGTGCCTTCATCCGACCTTCCAGAAGGCCCCATGGCTGTTTCCCAAGAAAATCCAAAGTAAAACTATCAGTGGCCATACCATACTAAACATGCACGATCTCATCCAAAGTAAAACTATCAGGCAGGATTCCCCAGAGATATAAAAATACTACAAAAACTGGAGACTGGCCCTCAAACCTCATAGCAGGAGCTAGTCAACCTGGCCTTTAAGGACAAAAGCAGCTCATTTCTGAGCTGCAGATGCTGGCCTCTGCCATAAGAAGCCCCCCAAAGACAGCCATTGAGTTGACCAAAAAGGGATCAAGGGTGCCCCTGACTCTAGGCACCTCTCTAGGGCCATGCTTCAAATGCCACCGGAGTGGTCACTGGTCACTGTGGGAGTGGCCCACAGCCTGGGATTCCCTCTGTTGTAGTCAAGGTCTGCAAGGAAATAATACATTTATTACAGAGCATGTAGTTTATAGGACTCTTTTATGATATTCATCCCAAAAGTCAAGTGTGGGGTAGTGCAAGAGATCTATCCACGCACAAGAGGCCCAAAGGATCCAGCCAAGGCCTGGATCCCAAGGCAATGTCCCACACAAGTCCAGCTGAAGGCCTAGAGTCCAAGGCAGTGTCCTCTAGGAGTGCAGCCAGTGGCCGAGAGCCCACGGCAATGCCTCATGCAAGTCCGTATGGATGATCTGCACTGGGAAGGCCCAAAGGCCAGTGGGGGAAGCTTGAAAAACCTGCATCACTGTTCTGTACCACCAGGCTGAGGGATCTGCACTGGAGCCAGGAAACGATGCTCAAGGCAAAGATCAGTGTTTCCCTGAAGAGAACAGCAGACATTCTCTATGACAGTGAGAACCTGAGCTCCTCCTCTGATGAGAATAGCCAAGTTCACATCAGGAAAACAAGTCACAGCAAGCTTCTCCAAGAAAATCAACAACAAATGATCTTCCCCTCTAGGTCTCTTTGTTGTTGGCAACAATCCTCAGGTGGGTCTTTCATGCTCGAAACCAGGCTGATTCAGTTCAGCTGGGCGTTACACAAGTTGACCGTTAGTTAATCCACCACACCCTAAAAGCTGTGAATTTCCTGTTAGCATCCTCACAGGAAGTCCGATCGTCTAATGCTGGCAAATACCCCTGCCACTTCTAGGCCATGACCTCAGAGCCACCAGCGAGCTCATTCCCAGACTTTCTTGGCCTGACTATTGAAGAATGAGATCCTCCTGGACCATCTTGGAAGGCGAGCTCTGGGTAACTCTTACTGGCGGAGGGCAAGTCCATCCCTTTCTTAATTAACACAGGGGCCACTCATTCCGCTCTCCCTTCTTTCCAAGGACTAGTCTTTCTGGCCCCAACTGCCACTGTAGGCATTGATGGCAGAGTCTCCAGGCTTTTAACTCCCCAATCTGATGTTTTTGGGTCAGCATCTCTTCCCACACTCATTCTTAGCATCCCCAGTGACCCCATCCCCCTTTAGGGTGAGATATCTTAGCAAAGTGGTCAGCCGCTCTCACCGTCTCCTTGAACACAGCCAGGGCTTACAACCACCTTGACTTCCCCTTCCCTGCCTTCTTCAGAGGCTCCCATCATCTCTCCTTACCCCAAGCCAAGAGTCTGGGGTACTTCCTCCCCATCCCTGACTTCATCTCAATAACCACTTAACATCCTTCTCAAGCCCAACCACCCCTACCCTGCCAATCACAGGATCCCATCTCCAACCTGGCTTTATGGGGATGATCGCCTGTTATTTCTCTCCCAATGTGACATGGTTTCTTCAACTCCCCTTCAGAGCCACACTTACACACT